TCAGTGAGCTATGCAGCATTGTAGCCAGGCATTATTATTGTATTATACTTTCCAATTAAAGTACTCCTATTTCTTATAATAGATGAAACTGTTAAAAGTTAATCATTGACAAGAAAGAATGTTGTGTCACCACATACCAGAAAGATGAGTTTACTTGATAGTTGAGTTTTAGTCCCAGGAGCTTGTATTCACAGTTTATGTCAATGTAGTATAACTATAAACTCCACACTGAAATCTTACCAGGAAATTTGAATCTTAATCATTTTAAAGATAACTATATTTTCTTTTCTTTTCTTTTCTTTTTTTTTTTTGGTGAGGCAATTGGAGTTAAGTGACTTGCCCAGAGTCACACAGCTAGGAAACATTATGTGTCTGGGGCCGGATTTGAACTCAGGTCCTCCTGACTTCAGGGCCGATGCTCTATTCACTGTGCCACCTAGCTGCCCCTATATTTTTATTTCTTTAATGAGTTATACATCTATGTCTGGATTTTCATTTGCTCAGTGTTGATTAGGATTGTGAGCCCTTTTATTACAAGCCTTGCCCTGAAATATTAGTTGTAATCTTTTTTCCAAAAATAGCCTTGAAATATTTGGTCATCATTCAGTAGTTTATATATTTTAGGAATTGTTGTAATTAACCTTCTTATTCTGACAAAATAAGGCACTGCAGATTCTAAACCTGTTTTGAAATACATAATTGGTAGGCTGGAAGAAGTGACAGTAATTTCTTTGGATTAGAATTGTTTGGAGAATTGGAGAGTGCTCCCCTAAACACATCATGCTTTTTAAAGCTCTGTCAGTTGGTCAATTAATGACAGATGATTTGAAGCTTTAGTGGGACAAGCGTGGCTCTGTAGAAGTGCTATTGTTGTGTTTGTATTTAATTGCTGTGTTTGTAAAGGATAGATATCCTTAGATCAGTGATTCCCATATTTTATCATTGCTCTAGTAGATATGAGAAAATAATAAGAAAATAGAGGATAAAGGATTGTTTGGAGTTTTGGTGTTTTTTTTTTCTTATTATAATAGATGAGAAGCTACATGGCATTGACAGATAGAGACAGACAAGGGAAACAGAGAGAAGGACAGAGACAGAGGGGGTTAGCCTATTAAGTCCTTTCTGTGAGCCAAGTAATGGGGATACAAATGTTATTCAATTGTTTTCAGTCATGTCCAACTCTTTGTGACCCCATTTGGAGTTTTCTGGGCAAAGATACAGAGTGGTTTGCCATTTCCTTTTCCAGCTCACTTTACAGATGAGGAAACTGAGGCAAATTTGTCCAGGGTCTTACAGCTAATGCATGTCTTAGGCCAGATTTGAATTCAGGAAGATGTCTTCCTGACTAGACCCAGCAAGAATGCTACTGTGCCAGCTAGCTGCCCCAGATATACAAATACAAATAAACTAGAAAGTCTCTGCCCTCAAAGAGCTTTTATTCTAATGAGGGAGGAAAAAATGGAATGAGGAGCTAGCAACAGGATATGTGTAGCATGTAGGAACAGACAGTATGGAGATGTCTAGGAAGTGGTATGGAAATCTGGTTCCAGGTAAGATAAAGCAAAAATTCACGTATCAAAGTCTAGGATGGTTCCAGGGACAGAGTTCAAGGTTCCTTTGGTGAATAGATGGAGGTGATGCCTGGAATGTAGATGTCATCCTATCCATCTTGTCTCATCCTCATCTTTCAAATCTTACCCCACCACTACAATCCCAGATCAGCTCTTTGTTTCTACCTGCCGAGGCTGTTGGGATAGTTTAGTTCTCAGAGTCTTATCTCTCCTCTCCAATCCAGTCTTCATACCAGTGCAATAATAATCTTTCTTCACATTGATCTTTTCATATCACTCAACTTTTTTGAAATCTTTAATGACTCCCTATTGTCTACTGGATAAATTTTAAATTTCAGTACTTGACATACAAGACTCTCTGCAACTTCTGTCCATGTATATATTTCCTGCTATTTATGTATTTTTCGTCTTTCAGTTTTAAATTTTGAATTTGAATTTTGAGTCCCTCTCTCAAGCCTCTTCCCAACCCATTGAGAAGGCAAGCAATATAATACCTATTATACATGTGAAGTCATGCAAAATATATTTCCATATTACAAAAAAAGCAAGAAAAATAAAGTGAAAAAACATGCTTTGATCTGCACAAAGAGTTAATCACTTTTCTTTCTGGAGGTGGAACCTGCTGTATATTTGTCCACAAATTGGACAGCTCTTTGTTCCCTTAGCATACACAGTCTCAACTTTATGCTCTTGTTTAAGTTGTTCCTTGTACCTACCATGTCCTCCATTCCTTCCTTTTTCTTGTTAAGTTTTCTAACCATCCTTTAAAATCCAACTCAAATGCTACTTATTCCAAGAAACCTTTCATGGCTTCCTGATTGGTAATAACCTAACGTTTTGTTTTATTACTCTTGATATTGGATATTTTAGCTATTTATATTTATATCTCACCCCACCCTAGTAAGCTGTACTTATTGATTTCACCAACACGTAGCGTAACGTTCCTTACATCATAGGCATTCAATAATTATTTTTGATTTGAAGGTTAATTTTTGTTTGGGATTTTTTTTTGTATTTATATATATTCTACTGCTTTAAAATTTTGTATTACTCTTTTTTATTGTTTTTTGACCATTTAATGAATATTATGTTCACTAATTAAGTCAGTTCCCTTTTCTTCTTTATGTATGCACATATATATTTGTCTCTATAATGTATCCACATGAAAACGTAATTTGTTTTCTTTGAGCTTTTATTCTTTTTGATCATAAATGTGTAATCATCTCTGCCTTCACTGGCAATGACACTTCTGTTTATGATGCTAAGAATAGCTCTGTTCTTATTCCTATATAGCTTCTACTTTAATAATTGTAAAATCTGGTCAGAGATTGATCATTTACACTTTCTTAGGCATTGTATTTTTCTTAGAGGTTGGACAGAAATGGATGCAAAAGATCTGTTGTTCTGTGGTGACTACACAAAATAGTTAAAGAGAAATGATTCAGTATTAGGTAGGCCAGCAAGATGTTCAAATTGGGACCATTTCCAAAGAAATTAAAATAAGGCACAAACACTATTATTTTCCTAGTGTATTTTTAAGAGGAAATCTCAGTTCATCATTTTCCTCTTTTTTAGAAAATATCTTTTGGATAGAAAATCTCTTTAACTATGACTAGAAACCTAAAAGACATTCTTAAAGATGCTTCATAGCCTTCATGACATTGGGTTGGTTGTGTGCCTGTTGTAATTTAAAATGGCACTGCAGTGATGATGCGTTAAGAGTTGTTTAATAGATATTTCTAATATCGGGGCAATTTCTCATTTAGAACTCCCATTAGTAGTAATTTGGTTTATTGAAAAGAGTGCCAAATTTGGAGTAGAAAATTTTAAGATCAAATCCTGATTTTGCTTTTCACTGCTTTTGTGACAATGGGCAAATCAGCTCAGCTTATCTGGTCTTTAGATTCCTTATGTATAAAATGAAGAGATTGACTTACTATAATGGAAAGAATACTTGACTTTGGAGTCAGAAAGAGCTAAGTTTTAATTCTATGTCTGACTCTTTGTAGCTGGATGACCATGGACAATTCATTTGACTTTTCTGATTGTTAGTTTCCTCATCTGTGAAATAAGGATAATAGTACCTACTTCGTAGAGTTGTTGTGAGGTTCAAAAGAGATAATATTGGTAAAACATTATGTAAACCTTAAAGCACTCTATGTCAGTTATTTCTTGTATGTTCCAATAGATCTGAGGTTGCATCATTCTAGATATTTTTCTAATAACACAAATCAGAGCCCATCCTTGCTTGCCCATTTAGTGACTCTCATCTTTTCATTACAGGGGACACACCTGACCTGATGGTGCCTTCTCTCATTCTCTTGACATTTCATGGAAACCAGTAGAGCACACTGGCCATTCCTTAACTTGTTCCCTATACTTATTACCTGAGCAGCCTATCTTTTTTACAGGCATATGTTTTTCTTATACTCTGCTCATGTCTACGTGTGTCTTCGTTGCTCTTTATGTGATCCTCAACTTTGATTCTTAGTAGTCTTTTCCCACTGTCAGGTTCTTCCTACATCAATCTGTTTTACCTTTCATTGCTAGAGTAATGTTCTTAATGCACAGAGTTAATCATGTTACTCCCATGCTTAGAAGCCTTCAGTGATTACTACTCCCAACTCCTCCCCCACACCCCCATGTGCCTTGTTTTTTCACGTGGACTTGTTACTTCATTGATGTAAGGAAGGAACTCCCTCTACCAATGGAAGTCTTAGTGAGTTGTGAGTTGATTTGTCCTGGAGTCACACGGCCAGTATGTTTCAGTGATGGGTCTTTCTGATTCTGAAGCTAGGTTTCTCTCTATTACGCTGCTTTGCCTCTCTCAGTGGTTCTTCATTGTCAAAATGGATAATTTTGATTACATCATCTATTAAAATTAAAATCCATTTTTCCAGCTTTCCTTCTCTGAACTAGTCCCTTTCATATAGTTTCTGTTCAGCTCAACAGGACCACTTGTCATTATCCTCATCCACTCTGTCTTTTCACACGTTCATGCCATTGTTTCACATTATCACCCTGGTCTGGAATTCAGTCTCTCCTCCTCCCCTAATCTTCACTTGTGAAATTGCAGCTCCTTTTTGAAGGCCACATTCAGGTATAGCCTCTGTGAAACCAAACCTTCTCTGTCATCCTAGACAAAAGTAATTTTTTATTTCTTTTGCATTCATATCTCTTTTTGTTACTATATTCTAATTTTATTATTAATTGATATTACTATTGTAGTGTATATTATTTCCTCTTCTAGGTTCTCTTCTATGTGCTTCCAAAACAGTTGTTGAATGAGATTGGTAAAAATGGATTTTCTTTTTAATTTTTGCATTTGTGAAGCTTTTTATTGGGAGGAGAAAGAAAAGGATAAACATTTGATAAGAAGTAATTCAAACATCTAAATTGAAATGATAGCAATTTTTTTTTCTTCTTTAGTGTTAAATGTTTACAAAAGACAGTGAAGGATTCTTATCACATAATTTGTAGACCATGTGCTTGTGAACTTGAAGTTTGTGCTAAATGTGGAAAGAAAGAAGAAATTGTTATTCCGTGAGTATTTATTTCCATGAAAGTTTATTTCACTCTTCCACTGCTTGATGCACATGCGTTTTCTTTCATTGAAGAATTCAGATAACTAATTAGGGCTTATATTTCAGTAAAATTATATGATCAATCTGTGGAAACAGATTGTAAGAGAATTTCAATTTAAAATTTTTCAGTAGTTTTCCCCATATCAGTTTCAATAATCTTTTTCATGTTAATCAGCCCTAATGAGTTGACATTTTTATGTTAATTTTTAAAAAAATTTTTCTTGTTTGTAGCACAATTTCATTCAAGTCAAGCCTTGTTTACTCTTTGACTAAGGTCATTGAATTCAGAGTATAATCCGTATTTCTCTGGTTCATGTAAGACCTGCTTAACTGACATAGAAAGGAAAATAAATAGCTGTGAACTTAGACATGGTGCATTTTTTGCTTTGTTATAGTAAATGGATAACCACATGTCTTTATTTGGGCTGTTGCCCTTGTATTATTCCTGTAAATATTGCCTCTGGGGATGCAGACTAACTTAAAAGCCTTTATGACATAAGCATTTGGTATAACTTCATTTGCTACTTGGTGTACAGCCATTGAGAGGGTGAGTCAATGTGTCTCAGATCTTACTCTGTTTTGTTGTTCTTTACAAGCACTGCTGTTATACTTAACACTTCACACCATCAAACCCAGGTACCCTTCATCTATTCTTCTACCCCAACTACCCTTTCCTCCTAAGTTTCTGGTCAAATCTGCTTCTCCTTAGAGAGGTTTTAGGCCCAGATTCCTTCTCAAAAGTGCAATAAATAGCCAGTCAGTGAATACATGTGTTACTCGCCTATGTGATATACACGAAGTCTCCTTCGGCATTTTGAAGTGGAGCTTTCATGTAAACATGAAGTTCTCAGACTAGTTTTGTTTGATTTCAGATAGAAGCCCCATTTTTCACAGTAGGGATCCATGGTTCTATCCCTGTCCCAAGAAAATATAAAAAGTGTTTAAGCTACGAGACTTAGGCAATATGTAGATAAACTCATTTTTAAATTTTTACTGTCATCAAAACAAGACTCAGGTTGACAGTGGACAAAACAGAGAAACTGAAAATAGATTAGAATACTGTGACGTTTGTTTATGGTTTTGACTTTGTTTTGTGTTAAACAGTTTTTCTGTAATGAATGTCGTTCTGATTTGATTGGGCTGCATATAACCAGCGACATTATTATTAGCTGGGCTTGTAACTTAATCTTCAGGGATCTTTTATTCATATTTATTTCACTGAAATTCTTGCTGATCACGATCAAAAAAAGTAGAATTTTGTTGAAAAGACACCCTCTGCCTTTACTGAGCAAGAAAATAATAAAAACCTGGCAGGTAATTGGATTTTTTCCCCTCCCTCCATCAGGATCAGTAACAAGCTAGAGAAGACAGCAGACATTGAAAGTGATGAGATATCTCACTGCAGGAGAAGAAACAGAAGATTTGAAGAACAGAGTGATGACGAATTAGATTTTGACCTTGATTTGAATGAATCAGAAGATGAGGAACAAAGTAATCATAGCAGCTATACCAAAAACAAATCTGCAAGTGCGAAAACCTAACCAACTTGAAGGTCTTGTACAAAGGCCTATGAAATTATATACAGGACAATGGAAAGCTCACTGACCTGGGATTAGGGGTTGCTAGGTTCTAGTCTTGCCTCTGTTATTAACCAGTTATGTATCCATAGTCAGATCACTTGCTTTCTTGGAGACTGTTTTTTTCATCTGTAAAATGGCATCAGTAGATGACCTGAAAAAACTGCTTCCAGATCTAGTTTTCTGTCATTTGGATTTCATCAGAAACAGAATCCATTCTTAAATTTCTCTTGGAACAATAAAAATGAACTCTTTTTTTTTAATTCAACATACTGCTCCTTTAATTTTGATGCGTCCATTTTGAATTTTCTCATGGAATGTCTCTTTTTTAAGTGTTTTAAGTGTTGAGTAATTTCAGTATTATTATTTAGAAAGCTACATGAATCATAAGCCTGAATAGTATTCAGGATTAATGGAATATTTTTAATCTCTGATGTGAAAGGGGTTGATCTCTTTAGGGTGGGGGGCTTCAACAAATATTAATTAGTTGAATAATTCGCATTGAAAAGCCATAATCTCGTATTTTTCCTTTATTGTAGAAATAGAATGTTGTCGTAGGAAAAACACTGGATGTGAGTTTAGGAGATAATGAAGTTCAAGTCCCATAATACTTACTAGTTGACAAGAAAACTCTCTGAGCCTCAGGTTCCTTGTCTGTGTAATGAGAGTAAAAATACCTTCTATGCAGAGTTGATATAAATGAATCACTTTGTCAACCTTAAAGAACTATGTGACTTGTCATAAGTCATTCATAAAAATTGTGTAAGATTCTTCTTATTAATAAGAATAATAACGATAACTTCAATTTATGCTCCTTGTTCTTCCCCTTCATATAAAGGACTTAATTCATATTTTACATTAAAGAAGTGATGTTATATTGTGAAAAGTCAGAAGATACCGTCTCTAAGTGTCACTCAGTTCTGTTGCCCAAGAGGTCTTAGGCACAAACATGTTTATGATAAATATGCTTATTATACTCAAGCCCTTTCATATACATTATCTTGTGTCATCCATATAATAGTACTTTAAGGCAAGGAGGGCAAGTAATAAATTGAGTTCTGGCTGTGGTTCTTCCACTTGCTAATCATTAGTCAGTCTCTCTGATCCTCAGTTTCCTATGGAGCAAGTTAGTAAGAGCTATTTTACATAGAGTCGTAAGCACCATAGAGTTCATCTAATCCCATTCTCTCATTTGCAGATGAGAAAGCAGGCATGCAGAGGGCACAGGAATTGCCTCTTGTTGCATGAGTGTAATAGCAGCAGAAAAATTCTTTTGAATTCTTCCAGGACAATATGCTTTCCACTATATCTACCTTACAGAGTAGTTGTGAATATAAAATTATTTAATGAATACAAAAATTATAAATTACTTCTTTCTAGAAACAAGTTTGTGAAGCAATATGGCCAGCATTTGAAGTGGGGCAGTAATATTCATTCTTCTCAACTCCCCTTCAGTCAGTTATAAATGTATTTTAATATAATAACTATATCTCAGTAATTCAAAACATATGCAGGATATAATCCTGTTTATGCAATGTCTTTGCTTTTTTGCATATTGTTATTGTTGTTATTATTATTATTATTATTATTAAGAATGGTGCCTGCTAACACAGATTACTCAACTGGAGGGAAGTTTGATAAAGAGCATCACCTAGTGGCATGTTCTTGTAATTGTGTATCTTTAGTTCCACGCCACAAAATATTATCAAGAATAGCCTAGAATTCATTTATGTTATTTAGTTCAGTTGTGTTTGTATAGGAATTGTTTCCCTTACCTAAAACCATTTTCTAGAGTGTGAATCACTATGTAGAAATGAAACAGAGGCTTTTTATTTTCTTTTTACTGTGATGTGTAAGCATTTTTTTTGTAGCTTAATATGTGCCCATATATTAAGACTATGTACTGTACATCCTGTAATCTTATCATTTTTAATAGTGCCTAGTATATCATATGGCTAAAAATAATTAGCACAAAATATTTTGGTTCATAAGTAGCCAAGATTTAAAGTTATGAACTTACTTGCCTATATTATGTAGGACTGGTTTTAAAACATTTCCAGAGAAAAAAGCATAAAAATATGATGGATGAAAGAAATGTCATGAGTTCAACAAATTTTATTAAATGTAGAGCTAAGTTCAGTGCATTGTGCTCAGGTCTTTTTTTTTTTATCCACAAGTTTTATGTAGCTTTATTTTAAAAAACAGGAAAGAAAACAACAACAAAATAAAATGAAAAGGTGAAAACATGACAATATCCAAAAATTGAGATCCGTCCACTTTTCAAAGGCAAAAGCTCTGAAAGTTCTACCAACTGGAAGAACCCTAACAAGACAAGAATTATGAATGGGGGAATGATGTCATTTCACAAACAAAATTTTATATAACCGAAGGAACCTTTCTGGGGCATAACTATTCTTACAAGCAAATGGGGGGGTGGCGGGGGGGACACGGGGTCGGGGAGGAACAAGACAGGAAAAACATGGAATTCCAGTGTTCCATATCAACTAGTTACATCAGTATATGCCCGCAGTGTTCTGGCAAACAGTGTGCATTCGTTTTCTGCAGCATTCTAAGAACTGTAATCTTGATTCACTTCAGCAGAGATGATAGCAGCAGGAAAGAATGTGGTGTTAAAAATGCTTGTGTTGGGGTGGCTAGGTGGCGCGGTGGATAGAGCACTGGCCCTGGAGTCAGGAGGACCTGAGTTCAAATCAGGCCTCAGACACTTGACACTTACCACTTCCTAGCTATGTGATCCTTGGCAAGTCACTTAACCCCTATTGTCTCACCCCCAAATAAATAAAAATAAAAATGCTTGTGTCAGCTTCTGGTGACTCTCTTCCAGGCAGCTTCAAGGTCAAAGCCTTACAAGAATTGAACAAGAACTTAAAAGATAATCTGTGTATATGGCCATGGCTGGGAGAGGATTTAAAGCCATACTTGAACCCCTTAAAATTTTTTTTTCCCATTAAAAATGTTTCTAAATGAAGTTATGTTGGTTGTCAATGAATGCCACTAGTACACAGTGGAGCTCAGGTCTTTTTGTCTGTGGTTTTGTAAACTGCTTTCATTTTCTCAGATGAGCAACTCGTTTGAAATGTATGATGAAAAGGAATTCCTGAGAGCTTAAATCAGTTACCCACAGTCACATAGGCGGTATGTATCTGAAGCACTATTTTAACCTAGCTTTTACTGACTCCAAAGCCAGCCTTGATTGTCTATCCCCTCTTCTCTTTTTTTCTCTTCACTCTCACTTGGGGGCCTTATCACTTCTCACAGGCTCAGTTATATTCTGAGTCATGGTAGGTACTTTAATAAATACTTACATTTAGTAATTAGCAAGTCACAGTCTGGCCTCAACTTGTCTTTGTAGTACTGTTACACATTGCTCTCCTTCACACATTTCTGTGGTCCAACAAAACATATTTTCTTACCTGAATTCAAATGCAGCCTCAGGCACTTGACACTTCCTAGCTGTGTGATCCTGAGCAAGTCAGTTAATCCCGATTGCCTCACCAAAATGCAAAAACAAAACAAACAAAAAAACCCCATGCTTTCTTGCCATTCCTCACACATGATGCTCCATCCCCTGTCTTTGTACAAAGGTACAGGCTCTTTCCCATGTCTTGCCTTATTTCTGCATCATAGATTCCTTCGTTTCCCTAAAGCCTTAGCTCAAGTGGCGTCTTTTGCATGAACTCTTCCCTGATTCACCTCAATTATTAATATTCTCCCCCATCACTGCAGTCACTATGTATCTATCTTGTATTTCATACTAGCACCTGTCATGTTGTTTTCTTCAAGAGAAGGTTAGCTGCTTGAGGGTGTGGCCTTTGGCTTTTGTCTTTGCATCTACAACATTAGGCACGTAGTAAGTACTTATTAACTTTTTATTGATTTATTGATCCTTTTACACAATGGAGGATAACATACTTTAAAAAATTAATGAAAAGATAGGTTGCTGTTTTGGGAATGATGTCTAAAAAGTCTCGTGTTTATTTGTATCCTATGATTTCTGTAAGAGGTTTGTTTCCAAGCAATATATATCCAATGCTGTAGGTGTTGTAGTTTTAAGACACCAAACTGACAACCCTGAAAAAACAAAGCAGAATTATAATTTCATGTATTACTAGCCAGTAAACACTATGCATTATCGGAATGTATATCTAAACTTTGTAGCATTTAGCACAATGTTCTACACAAGGTAGGAACTTAATACATGCTTGAACAAATGAAAATATTTTAATTTGTCCAGAGTACTTTTAAAGTCATCTCTGCAGCTGTACTTAGCTTGCTTTTGATGCATGCTTAGGAGGATATGGACAACAGTGACCACTGTGTTCTTACAGAAATAGGCCTCAGTAACTTATCTTTTTATCTCCAACTTTGGGCTTTTAGGCCATCATTAGGAATAAAAATAATGATGATATATAGAAAGATGAAACTGCTGAAAATTGGAAATATCATGCCATCTTATAGAGCAATAAAGGAAATTCAAGTTACTCAGTATGCAGTAAAACATGAATAGAAGGTGGACAGTGGCAGGAATTATATAAGATCTTTCTCTAGATTAGAAGAACTTGAATGGCAAGTTGCATTTTTGCATTATGTTTGGATCTCATTTATAGATTTGATATTAAGAAAGTTCACATTTTATAAGAACTCAATCAGTGTGTAACACATTTGTACATTCTAAAGAAAATGTTTAATAAAGCTAGAATTTGGTAAGGCATTATAAACTAAGGGTGCATTAATATGATTATTATCATTATGTTACTGATGACACATGAAATTTCCAGGCTAAAAAACTATCCAGCATTTTGAGGGTCAAAATATTTTATATGTTCATCGTTTATATTTTATTTATGTGGGGAAATGAGGAACTACTAGGTATGGTAGAAGAGGGTGGCAAATTTGGGAAGAAGAAGGAAAAAGAAGATAGGCCCAGGCATGAGTGGGTGGGAAGGGACAGAGGCTCCAAATTCCCCATTGCATATTATTAGGGTACTTTGGTGGCCTAAACAGATAGCTAAGTGCTTGGGAAACCTAGGAGGCCTCCAGCAGGCCACCCCTGCAGGAAGAAAGCAGGAAATGTGTTCTGAGATGGGTCACCCAGTGTATTTGTTTCACTAAGATGAGGGTCTTGTTTGAACCAAGTGATCTTTGGAAAGCATCTATTCACCAGCTCAGTAAGAGAAGAAAATAAAAAGACCATGCAATTTAATGTAGATTCCCTATAAACTTTTGTCTTCGAATCTGTATTATCAG